TGTACACCTGAGTGGAGTGTGTGGGTATTACGTGATCTGTGTGCGTGTGTCGGTGTGCACATGCATGTGTATTGTGATTATGTGTGTGCACTGTGGGTGTTTGCATGTGTGTGGGTGGAGGGGTGTGTGTGTGCGTGTGTGTGGATATGTGTATGGGTGTGTGTGCATGTGTGTGCATGGATGTGTGGGTGCCTTCTTGTGTACTCGTGTGTGTTGGCATCTCTGCATGTGTGCATGTGTGTGCATGTGGATGACTGCATGTGTCTGGACATGTGTGGATATGTGCATGGATGTGTGGGTGTGCGTGTGGATATATGCATTGTGTGTGCATGTGTGTGTGTGGATATGTGCATGTGTGTGCACATGTTGATGTGTGTGGATATGTGCATGTGCGTTTGCATGTGGATGTGTGTGAGGATATGTGCACATGTATGTGGATGTGTGGATATGTGCACACGTGTACATGTGGATATATGCGTGTGTTTGCATGCAGATATGTGTGCGCATGTGTGTAGATATATGCATGTGTGTGTGTGGATGTGTGCACCTGTGTGTGCGTGTATGTATGTGTGTGTGTGTGTGTGGAGATGTACACACACAGGTGTGCCCCTCCTGCAGGACCAGGTGCTGGCACTGGGCTGAGCTGAGCCCTGCCCCATGGGGGCTGCAGGAGCTCATTGCTGATCCGGGACCCCAGGGAGAGGCATGGGTCCCCTGTAGGCTGGGGCTGGGGTCTCAGGATGTCCAGGGAGAGACCCAGCCCCAGGGGCTCCATGGCTCCTTCCTGACCCAGAGCTCCGCCCCTAGACCCAGTCTGATGCTATTAAAACTCCGAGAGGAAATCCGGGTCTTTCCTGGCTGGGACTGTGATGGGCAGAGTTTGGTCTCTGGGTGCTCGGCCACCCCTGCTACCCCAGGAGTCTGCGTCCACCCGGGGCTGCTGGCCACTCCAGTCCCTGTCCACTCAGCCCCTGCACAGGGGCCCCCTCCATGGCCTTTGCTCCAGGGACGTTTGGGAAGCAGGGAAGTGCTGGGCCTCCCAGAGGAATCTCAGGGGCAGAGGGTGGGGTGAAGGCGGCCACCGAGAGCCCGGAAGCCCAGCAGTGGGCAGGCGCAGCAGGAGGACTCCTGAGGGGGCAGCGGGTCAGACCCCGGCAGGAAGGGCCTGGCCCTGGGCGGCAGGACCCTCTCCCAGCTGCCCCCGCTCAGCCCGCCTGCCCACTCTGCTCTGCAGTCGTCTGCTGCCACTGTAGGAGCAGAGAGCTGGGCCAGTGGCCTCGCCAGGGCCGCGCTGTCCAAGCCGCCTCCAGGCGCTCCTGAACGGCTGAGGCTCCGCGGGAGCACGCAGCCCGCTCTCTGGGTCACCGGGGCTGCCCATCCGGCCTGACGATAGCCGCTTCCCTCGTGACTGCCCTTGCACGGGAGCCTCGAGGGGGCCGAGGCCAGGGCCAGTGTCCACAGGGGGCCCACCTGGCCTCCACTCGGGGCTTCTGCTGCCCCTTGCAGGAGCCGTGTATCCCCTTACGAAGGCCATGGGCAGTCAGCCCTCAGCTCCCCCAGAAGGTGAGGTCCGGGCCTCCCTGTGGGGTCCAGAGCCCCGGTGCCAGTGCTGGCCAGCACCCCTCGGCTGACCCCCACCCGCTGACCAGCCACTCCCTCTCTGCCATGGGGGCAGCAGACAGAGGTCGTCCTGTGCCCCCGACCAAGGCCCAGACCTCAGGCTTTGGGGCCTCAGAGGTTCCCTTTTATAATTTTAAAAACGTGCGGCCTGTGCGTTGGCAGAGGGAGGCGTGCGCGGGACTGAACTCACTCACGGAGACCCCTCCCCCCCACTGAACTCCAGGCAGTGGCCAGCCCACGGGTCAGCGCTTCAGTCTGGACAGTTCTGCCTCTCACAGAGGTCCTTCTCAACAACCCGCACGCCTGCAGGGCCCCGGGCACAGGTGAGGCCCGGCAGCGGCTGCTGCCGTCCTGAGTGAGGCGCGGGGCCCAGCCGCTCGCTCTGTGCTTTTCCCTGTCACTGTGGGGTCCAGGCTGAGCCCTGCGCAGACGCCTTCCTGGAGGCGGGCACCTGGGCCGCAGGCCGGGCAGTGGACGATGCTGGATGTGGCAGTCCCCCCGCTGCCCGCCTGTGGCGCCGATGCCGGGGTTCCACCACCCGGCCCGCGCGTGTCTTAGGGAAGCGAGGCGGGCGTCCCTGTCGCTGGCCGGTTTCTCTCGGGCTCTTGGTCCCTTTGGTTGCCAGAGGCTCAGTCTGTCTGAACGCCGATGTCACCCTTTGGTCTCTGCCTTTTGTGTCTGTGTTTCCTGGGGAGGGCGCTCTCACTGCCGTGTGTCCAGGCCCCTCCCTCTCCCCCTCGGGAGCCTGTCCATCTAATCCACCACCTTACAGCCCAAGGCCCGGGGCTCGTCCAGCTATGGTGTTGCCGAGGGATCGGGTGTAACCTGGAGTTTGGATCCTCAACCGTGCCAGCACCGCTCACAGCAGGCCGCCCCCACCTCCACGGTGCCTGCGTGCGCTCGGCCAGCCGCACCCGTGCCGTGGGCTGGCCTGTGCCCGCTGTGTGCTGAGCGGTGCCACTTCCTGTGTCCCACGTGCCACGGCTGCCAGGACTCGGAGCTCCTTCTCATCGCTTCCAGGTTTTGTTTTGCTGGCTATTTTTGTTTGATTTTTAAAGATTTCCTTATTTTACTTGAAAGGCAGAATTAGAGGGTGATCTTCCATCTGCTGGTTCACTCCCCATATGGCCGCAATGACTGGGGCTGGGCCAGGCGAAAGCCAGGAGCCAGGGGCTGTGCCCAGGTCTCTGACACGGGTTCCGGAGCCCAAGCTCTTGGGCCGTCCTCCACTGCTTCCCCAGGCCATAGCAGGGAGCTGGACTGGAAGTGGACAGGCTGCACCTGCTACGCCACGGCACACGCCCTCACTTTGTGTCTGTTAAAGGTTTTCGCTCGGGCTGGCCTGGGCCAGGGTGGGGGTGCCGGGCCTCCTGCAGCAGCCTGTCAGGAGACCGGGGCTCAGAGGACGTGGGCTGCTTGGGGGTATTTGGCAAGTGGCCAGGTCGGCAGGTGCATGGCGAAGGCCCAGCAGGTGGCCTCAGGAAGCCGAAGGGGGGTTCAGTGTCTTCAATACCGGAGTTGTTCTCTCGCAGGCTGGGGCCAGAGCCCGGGTCCCAGCAGCGCTCCGCCTCCCAGCCGTCTCCGCGTCTGGTGGCTGTGGACGACCCTTAGCTTAGCTTCTTGGCAGTCCATTCCCCAGACAGGGAAGCAGAGGCCACAGCACAAGGCCCTCCCTGAGGGAGGCCCCTGTGTGGCTGCTCAGTGGCCGGGGGGGTGGGGTGGGGTGGGGTATCTGCAGTCAGAGGTCCCAGGGCTGAGCGCGTCCTTGCCGGTGTACACGGCTCCAGGCTGCCTGGGGTTCTGGCCCCTGCTTGAGAGAGCTGTGGCCCAGGGGAGAGTGACAGCAGGTGACAGTGCGTCTGCCAGTGCCTTGCCTGGCACAAATGTGCTGTCGTCCCCTGCCCCAAGGGCTGGCGGCTGGGGCGGGGTGGGCAAGCCCGGAGTGCCTCCCCCTGCACCTAGGGGGAGGGGCGGCGTCTGTTCCCCAGAGACCCCCGGTAACAGTGGGCCAGAGGGAGTGGGTCAGGTAGGTGGCACAGCAGGGACAGAAATAGCCCAGGCCCAGGGCAGGGCCTCAGACCCTGCAGGCGGCTACAGCACAGCCCGCCGGGGCCTGCCGCCCTGCCTGCCAGCACGGGGAGCTCCTCGTGCCCTCTCCCCGGGACCTGGCCAGCAAGAATGCACCTTCCGGAACCTTCTGTGCCAGCTGCCGTGCCCAGGGTGGGCTATGCCTCCTGTGACCAGGGTGGGGGTCACCTCTGCAGCTGAGGTCGGATTTCTGCCTCCAAGTGCTCGGGTGTTTGTGGCGACAGGCGCCGGGCCCCCAGCTTTGCTGCCGATGGACAGGCCGGGCGAGGCGTGGTGACCAGGGACGGCCTGAGCTGAGCCACGCGTGCCGGGGCCCCGCTTGTTTCCCCGCTGCCGTCTTCCAGGTCGCACCTCAAAAACGCTGCGGGAGAAGCAGGCGGCTCAGGACGTGTCGGGGTGGCCAAGGGCCCCGTGGACTTGGGCCGGGGGCCGTGGCCTTCTCCACGCTGGCTCCCTCTCCGTGGCTCCCGGTGTCTCTGTGGCCTGCGGGCTGGGTCTGGCTGTCCCCCTCCCGGCAGGGCGCCAGCTCTGTGGAGAGGCCACACTGGGAGCCCGTGGTCCAGACCACCCACCTTGTCCTCTGCCGGGGACGCAGGCTGTCCCTTAAGCCCGTCAAACACTTCCTGTCAGGCCAGCCCCTGGGTTAGGTGCTCGTCCCGCCTCCGTGTCCCCTGCGGGCGTCGGCCCCTGGACCAAGCAGGTGCTCCTGGGCCCCAGGCTCAGCCGCGGCTGCCGAGGGCTGCTTGGGGCGAGGCTCTCTCACAGCAGAGAGGCCCCGGCTGCCAACCAGCCAGTCAGGGTGTGGCGAGAGCCTGGGTCCTTGCCGACTGAGCGGGGGCCAGGGCGGGTGGAGGTAAAGACCCCAGAAGGGGCCTTGGAATGCGGGTGTCTCTGGGGGTGGGAGGGGCCGGGAAGGGACCTCACAGCCTCCAGCAGGAACCAGGCTCGGTTTTGCCTGCGCCCGCATCGGCCTCTGCACGTGGACCCGTCTGCTCTCTCTCACTTTAATTCAGGACCCTGAGGGGAGCTTCGGGGGGGGCGCTGATTTCAGCTCACGGTGCAGAGGTTACAGGTCAAGGTCGGGCAGCCCTGTGGTCTGGCATCTGTCAGGGCGGGGCAGTCATAGTGGGGAGCCACATCGGCCTCGGGGGGTCGGGGAGCCGAGCCCTGCTCCGCCCCAGAGCGTGGCCGTCCACAGCGTGTGCCACACAGCCTGGAGCCCGGGCTTGCCCGGAGCCGTGTCTGTGCCGCGGGGCCGGGCCGGGGCCCTGCTGAGGCGCCGCCGCCGGCAGGTGTGCATCGTGCAGAAGCGGGACTCGGAGAAGATGTACGCCATGAAGTACATGAGCAAGCAGCAGTGCATCGAACGCGACGAGGTCCGCAACGTCTTCCGGGAGCTGCAGATCCTGCAGGGGCTGGAGCACGTCTTCCTGGTCAACCTCTGGTGAGGCCTCGGCCGCCGCGGGGAGGGCGGGCGGCGCGCCAGACCCCGCGTGGCCCCTGCAGGCGGCGGGAGGCTGGCCTCTTCCTCTCCAGGGTCCTCCGGCCTCTGGCGGTGGGCTCTGCTCTGGGTGCACGCACGGCGGGTGTTCCCGAGGGGCCCCGGCCAGCGGCTCCTGGGCCCTGCCAGCCACCTGGGCACACCCGGCAGGAAGGGGCTTCCCGGTGCACGGTGGCCACATCCGGAAGCCGCACACGGCTCTTGAACGCTGCCAGTGGCTCCCTCCGTGGCGACAGGGCCCTCACCCTTCCTGGGCTCCATGTGGACATGGGGGTGCTGGAGCACACGGAGCAGGCAGCAGCCCTGCCCCCCCGCGCGACCTCATCCTGTCCCTCCCTCGCGGCCCCCTAGTCCCCAGGGGACAGCATGCATCTCAGTGGGCAGTGGTTCCACAGGTAGGGGTGCTCCCTTCAACCTGTCCCACCGCTGGGCGGCCAGGAGGGCAGGGCTGGCCCACAGCCTCCCTGCAGTCGCCGGGCTGGGGTGGCGCGGGCACGGCGCCCTCCGTGACGGACGCTCGCTTCCTGCACGGAAGGAGGACCAGACTTCCTCTCCGGGGCCTCAGAGCAGCCCCGGCCCTGCCGGCCTCACTAGGAGGCAAGGCGACCTTGCAGGCAGACGCAAGGGCTTCTGGGTGGACCTGTCCTCGCTGTCCCCAGGCCTCTGCTCTGAGGGTGGACCTGTCCTCACTGTCCCCAGGCCCCTGCTCCGAGGGTGGACCTGTCCTCGCTGTCCCCAGGCCCCTGCTCCGAGGGTGGATCCTAGAACCACTTGCGTCAGGGTGTGTCTGTGGTCTGTGGGCCAAGCACCCGCACAGGCAGACGTGGGCTGTTGTGGCTCACCGCTGTCCCTCTCTGCTGTAGCCGGCACCCCACCCCCACCCCCACGCCAGCCTGCTGGGGATGTCGGCTGCCATCCCAGGTCCACGCAGGACAGGGCCACCCCAGCCCACCTGCAGTGTGGGGGCCACCGCCCTGTCCACTGCTCACGCGGAGCCCAGCACCCTGGCTCCCTTTGCTCCACGGCTCTGATCTCCACCTTCCCCCCCTCCACTGAGGACGAGGACGGTGGCTCCTGTAGGCAGGCCAGGGGATGTCCTTTGTAGCTTTACTCTCAGAAGGACCAGCTGATTGACAATTAGAGTTTCTCCACGAGCTAAAAGAGCACTTGCAGGGTAGATGACTTTAAGATGTTTGCTGTCACCACCACCATCATCTTCAGTGACATTATCATGACCCTCACCATCGTCACCATCATCATGGTCACCATCAGTAACACTAGAATCTTCACCACCACCATCACCATTGTCACCATCACCATTGTCACCATCACCACCACCATTGTCACCATCACCACCACCATTGTCACCACCACCATCACCACCACCATTGTCACCACCACCATTGTCACCACCACCATTGTCACCACCACCATTGTCACCATCACCATTGTCACCATCACCATTGTCACCACCACCATCACCATTGTCACCATCACCATTGTCACCACCACCATCACCATTGTCACCATCACCATTGTCACCACCACCATCACCAGCATCAATGATCTTCATTGCCGTCACCAACACCACTGCCATGGCACAGCACCATGGCTGCTTGCTCTGGGCAGCCCCCGCCCGGCACCGTGGCTGCTGCTTGCTCCGGGCAGCCCCCGCCCGCGCTGTGCCAGGCGTCTGCCGTGCCGTCTCCTCGCTGACAGCCCTCCGAGGCGGCGGCTCCTGTGCCTGTTCTACTGAAGCCAGGGCAGCCGGGAGCAAGCGGAGGCAGGCGCTGCGTCTGCTCTCCGGGTGTCCCTTGCGAGCGGCTCCGGCCCCTGCCGGGCCACCTCCAGGACAGACTGCTCCATCGTCTCCCAGGTCGTGGCCCAGAGCAGCTCTGAGCGGGGGTAGAATCCGTGCTGGGGACAGGACCTGCTCCTGGGACTCCCCGTGGGGGCGGGGCTCCGCCGGTGGGGGTGTGGCAGGTGCACACCAGGTGCTGCCTTGGCGCCCACAGGTACTCCTTCCAGGACGAGGAGGACATGTTCATGGTGGTGGACCTGCTTCTGGGCGGGGACCTGCGCTACCACCTGCAGCAGAACGTGCAGTTCTCCGAGGACACCGTGAGGCTGTACATCTGCGAGATGGCGCTGGCCCTCGACTACCTGCGGAGCCAGCACATCATCCACAGGTGTGCGCCCGCCCGCCCGCCCGCCCGCCTGCCCGCCCACCTGCCGGTGCGCCCGCCCACCCGCCTGCCGGGGCGCCTGCCCGCCCGCCCGCCCGCCTGCCCAACCTGCCCGCCTGCCCGCCCGCCTGCCTGCTCGCCTGCCCGCCCGCCTGCCCAGCCCGGGCCGGCCCTCCCTGCAGCCCTGCACAGGTCGATGCTGGGCGCCACAGTTGCATCCCTGGTGTCCGCCTAGGGGCAGGCCCTGTCCAGAGGCTGAGGCTGGGCCCTGGCTGCTGGCTGGCATGGGCAGACCACAGACCCGGCTGCTCCGGGGGTCAGAAGGTGGGGGTGCTGGTGATGACCCACCTGGGCAGAGAGGCTCGGACCCCACACGAGGGTGTTAGGTCCCAGCATCCGCACAGGCTGAGCCGCGGGGGCGGGGGGGGGGGGGCCGCGTCCTGGGGAAAGTCCAGCACGGCTCCAGGAGCTGCCTTGCCCTCCACGCAGGGACGTCAAACCCGACAACATTCTGCTGGACGAGCAAGGTGAGCCGGGTGGGGGTGCCGGGCAGGGGCGCCGGGCGGAGGCGGGCCGGCGGGGAGGGGCTGTCCCTGTGCCTGGGTCCCCGCCTCACAGGACACGCCCACCTGACCGACTTCAACATCGCCACCATCGTGAAGGACGGGGAGAGGGCGACGGCGCTGGCTGGCACCAAGCCCTACATGGGTAAGCCCACGGCTGCTCAGCCGGCGCCGCCCCCGTCCCGGCCCCCCGCCCTCGGCTGTCTGGGTCCCCCACGCGGAGCCTGGCCCCGAATGATAGGAGCTCTGGGGCTGTGCTGGACGCGTGCAGAGGGGTCGGGGCGTCCCGGAAGCCGGGCCGAGGGCCTGGCCACGGAGCCGGCAGTCTGGTTCTCGCCCAGACCCCTGCCGTGGGTGCTGCAGGAGGGAGGGTCCCCGGGTGGGGCCGGAGCCCGGTTTGTAGGGCCCGGGTCGGGGTGCCGGCACCCAAGAGCCCCGCCGTCCTCTCTGCAAAGCCCCAGAGATCTTCACCTCCTTCGCCAGCGGGGGGACCGGCTACTCGTTCGAGGTGGACTGGTGGTCGGTGGGGGTGATGGCCTACGAGCTGCTGCGAGGATGGGTAAGGCGCCTGGGGGCCGTGGCGTGGTCCCCCCGGCTGGCTGCTTCCCAGGGTGCGGCGGGGACCCGAGCCGGGGAGGCAGGTGCTGCCCTCAGCCCGAGGGCTGCCCCTTTAAGGGTGTGTGGGCCGACGGCCGAGTGAGCAGGGAGGGGGACGGCTCCCGGGGGTGCCCAGCAGAGGGAGGCCCGGGCACTGGTGTCACCGCCCCCACCTCCCGCCCTGGGGGCTCCTTGCCGGGGTGGGGTGTCTCCCCGGCACCATCCTGGGCGCCGTGGGGTCGGAGTGCCCGGCACAGCGCCCGCCTGCCCGCAGAGGCCCTACGACATCCACTCGAGCAACGCCGTGGAGTCCCTGGTGCAGCTGTTCGGCACCGTGAGCGTGCAGTACGCGCCCTCCTGGTCCAAGGAGATGGTGGCCCTGCTGCGAAAGGTGAGCCCCGCCCCCGGCTTCCTCCTGAGCTCCTGCCACTCGGGGAGGGCGGGGCGGCTCTAGCTCTGCCCGTGAGCAGCCTGCCTGACCCCGAACCCAGTCCCTGGCTCTGTCATCTGATGTCCCCCGGCGACGGGCGCCAGTCACCGGCCCACCTCACACGTCCTGATGCCCCTCAGGGTGGGGTGCTGGCCAGGTGCAGGCGCAGGCGGTGCCCTGGGCTCCTCTGGCCTTGTTCCGTCCCTTGGAGGAAGGCAGCCCTGCCCACTGCCAGTGCCTGGGGCACCCGGCTCAGGGGACAGGCAGAAAAGAGGCTGGACCCGAGCGCCTCCAGGGGCCCATGGACGCCGCCTGCAGGGACCCCGTGTGGCCCTCAGCAGCTGAGGTCAGGTCTGGGCTGGGGATGGCTCCCTGATGGCCGGCACACTTCACCACATGGGTGGCTGCATCCCAAAGTGGGGGGTGGGGGGAGGTCCTAGAGCCCGGGGTCTCCTGTGCACGGGAGGCCGGGTCAGGCTCCGTGAGGGCCTCCTGACTCCACGAGGGGGTCCCCAGTGGGAGTTTGGCTCCAGAGGCCCTGAGTGGACAGAGGGGACAACCCAGACAAGCCCCACGCTCGGCACCTCACGCAGGGCCTGCGGCGTTCTGGCCGCCATGAGCCTGGCAGGCGGCGCTGGCGGCTGGGACGCTGCTGCCCACGGTCCTGGGGTTCCGCCCTGTGCTGGAAGTGGCTTCACCTTCGTGACCCCCTGCTGCCCCCAGTGTCCAGGGAAGGAGCCATCAGACAGGCCTCCACTGCCACCTGCTGGTGGGCCCGGCAGAGCCCCCGGCCGACCCTGGCTGTGGGGCCTGTCCCTCACCGCGTGGCTGAGCTGACCGCATTGCTCTGCCTGAAGTCGGTGCCTCCTCCCTTTCTGTGCCCCGAGAGAGCCTGCACTTCCTCCCCTGGCCTCGCGGTGGCCGGCCCTGCCCAGCGGCCTGTCTCCGCAGCTCCTCACCGTGAACCCTGAGCACCGGTGCTCCAGCCTCCAGGACGTGCAGGCGGCACCCGCCCTGGCCGACGTGCCGTGGGCTGCCCTGAGCGAGAAGAAGGTGGAGCCAGGCTTCGTGCCCAACGTAAGCTGTGGCGGTGCCCGGGCGGGGCCCTGGGCCAGGCGGGCGGCCCCTGCAGCCGGCTCAGCACCCGGCGCCTCCACAGAAAGGCCGCCTGCACTGCGACCCCACCTTCGAGCTGGAGGAGATGATCCTGGAGTCGAGGCCCCTGCACAAGAAGAAGAAGCGGCTGGCCAAGAACAAGTCGCGGGACAACAGCAGGGACGGCTCCCAGTCGGTGAGTGCGGGCTCCTGCCCCCTCCTGTGCGGGGCGGCTCCTGGGGCGTGCGGGCTCCTGTCCCTCCTGGGACGGCTCCTGGGGCGTGCGGGCTCCTGTCCCTCCTGGGACGGCTCCTGGGGCGTGCGGGCTCCTGCCCCCTCCTGGGACGGCTCCTGGGGCGTGCGGGCTCCTGTCCCCCGCTCAGGGTGTGCTGAGGTCTCCTGCGGTGTCCTACGTGGCCGCGGCGAGCAGCCGCTTTCCCTGAAGTCCTGAGAAAGCCCACACCCCTGCCCTCACACAGCCTCTCCGAGCCCCTTGCCCACTGGGAGCGCAGGCTGTGAGCGCGCACAGGAATCGCGTATGGGAAGACCTCAGCATCCAGGTGTGCTAACGGCTACGAGCGTTAGTGCCTGGGTGTGCCCCTCCAGGTGCACTAGGTGTGCTAGGTGTGACTTCCCAGGTGCACGTGCGTCCTGGGGCTGCTCTAAGAAGTCGCCGAGGGTGGCTGCGGCAGCAGACGTGCGCTCTGGAGAGTCCAGCTTGAGGTACTGGCACAGCCGAGCCCCTCCGAGGGCTTCCGGCTTCTGACGGTGGCTGGCCGAGGCGTCGCTCCATCCCATCTCTGCCGCTGGGGCCCAGAGGCCACTGGCCACTGCTGTCATGGGAATGACTGGCGCTAGACTCGAGCTCCCTCGACGGTTCCTTGCAGGGCAGATGTCCCAGGAGTGAAGCCCCTCCATGTTTGTGTTCCGGGAGCGTGTCCCCTCCGCGCTGGCGGGAGCTCTGGACGTGGGCCCCGGCTGGTGGCCTTCCCCCGCCTGCGCTGTCCTGGCACCACCCCTGGTGTTCTGCAAGAGGGCCTTTCTCCCTCCTGAGATTTCCTGTCCCGGGCTCTCGGCCACCTGATGGGCTGTGGCTGGGCGTGGCCTCTGAGCCTCCCGGGTCTGTGGACTGGAAACTCGCGCCCTCTCCTCGCCCTCCCGCTGGTGTGTGTCCCCACTGTGCGGCGTGTGACTGGGGAGACAGGTGGGAGGTAGACAGATCTTCCATCCGCTGGCCCACTCACCAATGCCTGCGACAGCCAGCACGGGCCAGGCCAGGCCAGGCGCCCATCCAGGGCCCCCACCTGGGTGGCGGGGACCCCAGCTCTTGAGCCGTCACCGCGGCCTCGCAGGTGCAGTGCAAGGAAGTGTCCCGGGGGCAGGGCGGCTCCACCCGGGGCACCGGCGAGCGGTGCAGGCGCCCCACGCCTCGGCTCGGCTCTCAGCACGACACCCACCCCCAGCGCTTCTCTGCGCCCGCTCTGGGGGCTTCTGAGGCCGTCTCCGTGCTGCCCCCCCCCCCCCAGCCATCAAGGGCAGCCGCAGCGCCACTGCTCGCTCCCTCCTGTTCTGTCTCGGGGTCCCCGTCGCTCCGCCCCGTGGTGCTGCCTTGTGGCCGCGGCCCCCTCCGGCTCGGGGCGCAGGTGACCCCGCCCCCAGGTGACAGCTGCTCGCTCTGTGCCGCACGCGGGTCTCACGGCGCCACGTGCTCTCCGTCCGCCCACCGTTCCTCCTCCCTCTTGCTGGGCCCCCTGACTTCTGTTGTGAGCTGCGTGGGCGGCCTGGGCCTCTGTGCTGCGTCCACTGTCGCTGAGGGCGTGGAGGCTCTGCGTCCCTCCGGGCCCTCGTTTCTGCCCCCTCAGCCGCGTCCCCACCTTTACGCTGGGGTGGGGGTGGGTGCAATAGACTGTGAGGCCCTCCCAGCCTCCCCCAGGGCCCTGGCTCAGTGGCCAAAGGAGGGCTGGAGGGGGGCAGAGCCAGACAAGCACCTTCCCCCCATGGGGGGGTGGTCCCCTGGAGAGCAGATTCTCCACTGGGTAGGGAGCGGGTGGGGGTGGGGGCTGCCCCTGGTGGCTCAGCACCCCCTTCCAGAGTCACGGGGTGCCCGCAGACGCCGGCCTGGGCAGGGAGCTGGCCGTGGGGGGCAGTGTTCCTCCAGGGCCACAGGCACAGACCCCAGGACCACTGGCTGGGCGCGCCTCCTCCGCAGCCCCCAGCGGCTGACCCCAGTGCCCGGGAGCAGGGCCTGGCTGCCCGCTGTGGGCTCAGCGGTGCCACTCTGCCCGCAGGAGAACGACTACCTGCAGGACTGCCTGGACGCGATCCAGCAAGACTTCGTGATCTTCAACAGGGAAAGGTGAGTGGGGGGCCCGGGCGGCCCTGGGCAGGGGGCCTTGCTCAGGTCAGGACTGACAGCCTCCTGGGACCCCCACCCCTCAGCTGCTCACTCAGTACCCGTCCTGTGTCAGAAGGGGCCAAGGTGGGCCACACGCAGTGCACACCTGCTGCCCTGGGGGTCTGGGAGGGCTTCCTGGAGGAGGAAGGATGTGCAGGGCGGGGTAGGGACCCCATCCCTTGTTGCTGACACAGAGCCTGCAGGAGTCCAGGGCTCCTCCCTGCCGGACGTGGGCTGTGCCCTGCCCCCTCCACCCCAGCCTCCCCACGGTGCCTGGGTCCGCGTGGGCCCCAAGGAGGCGAGCACAGGCCCCACCCCATTTCTCTCTCCCAGGCTGAAGAGGAGCCAGGACCTCATGAACGAGCCGCCCCCCATCCCCGAGCCCGGGGCCGCGGTGGAGCCTGGGGCCGATGGCGAGGTGGAGCCCTCCGCCCTGCCCATGTGTGGCTCTCTCTGCCCCTCGGCCGGGAGCAGCTAGGCCAGAGGCGGCGCCATGGGGGCAGCTGACTCGGACACTATGGAGGCTCGGACCAGCCGTGGGAGGCGCAGCCCCAGATGCCTGCAAGGAGCCCAGGCCACGTCTCGCACCCACAGTGCAGGGCGACACTGGCTCTGGGGGGGGCGTGGGTGCCTGCGCAGTGCCACCTGGGCCCCAGCCCCTCGCGGTGTGCAGGGAGCCACCTTGCCCCAGCTGCCCTCCGCCCGCGGCCTGGCGGGCCGGGAGCCCTGGGCCCTGAGACTCAGCGGGACGCTGCCCCGCCACCCGCACGTTCACTGGCCGGGGCCGGGGCCGAGGGAGGGAAGGGAAGGACGTTTTCTACTGAAGCCGAGTGCCGGGCGTCTGTAGTTCCCGCCGCAGACATTACAGCGTGAGAACCATCAGGTCGGCGCCGCGTGTTCTGTGTCAGGACTGGGCAGCCCCGCCACGCTCCAGGCCGTGGGCGCCCGGCCCCGCAGGTGACAGCTGCCAAGGCGAGGGGAGAAGTCAGGGCTCCGCACGCACAGCGGCCTCGGAACAGATGCCTTTAATGCCCCCCTGGCCCCAAACAGAGCTGCCCCAGGCTTCCTCCCCCCAGGGGCCAGCGGGTTCCCTGCAGACTGGGGCTGGGAGGGCGTGGTCCCGGGAAACGCTAAGTTCCTGGTGGATCCCTGACGTCACGCAGCGCCCAGGGCAGGCAGGAGGGCTGGGCCGTTCCTCCCGCGGGGGCAGCGCCTCGGCTGGGACAGGCGGGAGCAGCAGGGCTCCCGCGGGCAGTGATGAATGCAGGGAGGCCTCCGGGCTGAGGCCCCCTCCTCACCTGCCTCCCTGCAGGTCGAAAAGCACCTGGTGGGCCGGGGCCCGGGGCCGCCTCGCCTTGGCAGTGAAATCCGGCCCCCAGACCCCAGGACCAGACCAGGGTCCCCCAGGGCAGCGCCTGTGGGGGCAGGGTGGGCGGTGGAGCACCCTTCAAGGTAATTCTCAGAGGGAAGAGCTAGCTGGCGGGCGGCACCCACCCAGGGCCCCTCTGAGTCCTGAGGTCTACGAGAGGGAGGTGATGTTGGAGCGGCCACCAGGGGGCGCCATGATCTTCTGTGCTGTGCGCCTGGCAATGTGGTCGTCGGCCTGGGACCCTGGAGAGAGAGCAGGGTGGGTGTGGGAAGGGGTGGGCGGCAGGGGCTGCTTCTGTGCGCCCAGGAGGGCAGCACCTCCGCCACGCCACACGCCACACGCCACGCCACGCCACGCCACACGCCACGCGCGGGTTCGCTCCCCGAGGCTGTGCTGCACAGCCCAGCACCCGTGAGGCCCTAAGATCTGTGGGGACTGCAGGGTGACCCAGCAGGAAGCCTCCCCTGGAGGGAGGGCCAGGTCCTTCCTGTGGGCCGCGTTCCGGGCCCACGTGCCGGGGGCCGGCAGAGACCACCCTCACCTCCGAGGCAGGACAGCGGGCGAGGTCAGCTGGGGTTTGCTGGGGGCCCAGTCCTGCCAGCGTCCCCGAGTTCGTCTGTGTGCAGCCCAGGTCCCACCCCCGGATGCTCCACGGAGCCCAGGGCCCCTCCCCTGCTCGACTCACCAGAGAGGCTGAATCCCGACTGGTGCAGGTTGCGCACGGGCGGCACAGAGATCTTGCCAGGGCAGGATGCCCGGGCCTGGGCGCCGCCCCCCGGCTTGGCGGGCACCGTCGCCTCGTGCACTGGCCCATCATAGAGGCCTCGGGGCACGCCGTGGATCTCGGCCAGCTGCAGCCAAGGGGGCTGGTGTGAGGGCTGGGCCGGCCCGCCCCCTCGAGCCCCCCACCCCGTGTGCACACACCGGCCATACGTGTGCGTGAAGCCTTCCTCCAGGCTCCCCGCGCCCCGTCTGCACAGGGGCTCCTTTGGGAGATGGGACCCAGCGCCCATGGCCAGCTCGCCCCACCTGACCCTGGCAGGGCCCGACACGCAGTCCTGGGCCCTCACGGCCCCAGAAACGGCCGCAAGGGCTGCGGCACTTCCCAGGAACCCCTGCAGCCTCCACAGCGGACAACCGTGGACCCCCGCCGGGTGTGCAGGTGCCACCAGCCGGCCCCTCCCCCGGGACTCCCGGTCACGGTCACTGGCGGGGGGGAATGAGTCAGGAACACCAGGCCCCAAGGACTCTGCTGGCTCCGCCACCTCCGACTCTGCTCATGTGGACCCGGGCTGCGCCTCACTGAGCTGCAGGCTCCCATCTTGAGTGCCACATCCTCGCCCCCACCCCACCCTCCACATCCCTGGGGAGGAGGGGTGGTGCTCCAGGGTGAGAGCCCCGCTCAGCTCCAAACACCCACCCTCCCTGCTCAGCACATGCATGTGCAGTGTGGGCGTGTGCACGCGTGCTCATGTGTGTGTGCACTGAGCCGTGAGTGCATGTGCTCACTTGTTTCTGTGCCTGTGCTGTGGTGCACGTGTGGTAACTGTGTGGGAGAGTCCACATTTGTGCTCCTGTGTGCATGTCCCATGTGCAGTAACCATGCAGGTGAGTGAGCTTACATGTGTTTGGAGTGTGTTCTTGTGTGCATGTGGCCCTGTGTTGTATGTACCAACGAGTGTGCATACATACTGTGCCTGCATGTGGCTGTGGGCGCGGGAGCACCTGTCGGGTATGGCTGGTGACCCCAGGAGCCAGGGAAGGCTGTGGACAGTGCCCACAACCCCCAAGCTCACTGTGAAGACACCCGCGTCCAAGCTGTGCTCAGCGTGTCTCTTGGGAGAAACCCCTGGGGTCTACACTGGGGCTCAGGGGCTTCCTCCCAGAGGTGCCCACAGTGAGCTATTTCCATCCCGATTTCCCGGAACAGCCCTGGTTACTCGGTGACCAAAACAACAAAAAGACCCCCGGGCAGCACTCACCACGCAGGGGGCGCGATCCCGCACGCACGCATGCGCGCATGCGCACACCCCCGGGCCTCACCCTGTTGCGGGCTTTTATCCGCTTGTAGACGAAGTCGGGGAAGCTCTTCCGGGGGATGAAGCGGCCGGTGCCGGGGCTGACGGTCACGCTCCCGCCCTCCAGCACCACGCGGCCCTGGCTCACGACCACCACGGGGGCGCCTCGGCACTCCAGCCCCTCAAACACGTTGTACTCCACATTCTGGGGGGACAGGCATGCGCCCGGCACCCTCAACCCCTGCTTCCAGACAACCTGGGCCGGCCAGCGGGATGGGGTCTCGGACGTGCCTGGTGCCCGCGCGACTGCAGGGTCTTTGAAGGGCAAAGGGACCACCAGGGAGCGGGCACTAAGCTTGCTCTTCCCCGGCCGCGGCAGACACACAGCACAGCTCTGCCTCAGTCTCCCCGCCTGTGCGAGGGGGGTACCCGCCCCCCAGGGTCAGCAGCAGAGGAGGTGGGCGGGCCCGGGACCCTCCCGGGAAAGCTGCCTGGGGCTCCCCGTACCAGACGGTGGCTCTTGGCAGAGATGACCTGGGTGGCCTTGGGGTTCCAGACAACCAGGTCGGCGTCGGAGCCCACGGCCACGCGCCCTTTCCGGGGGTAGAGGTTGAAGATTTTGGCAGCGTTTGTACTGGTCACGGCCACGAACTCGTTCTCATCCATTTTCCCTGTGGCCTGCAAGGCAGGGGCCAGAGCTGAGGCGTGGTCCCCGGCACCCGGGGCAGTCCCTGGGGCCCAGGCAGCCCGGCCCCGGGGGAAGGGGCGCTGCTGTCTCAGACCCACCCCAGGATGAAGGAGCCTGATTTCCGGGCGCAGCTGGGGGTCAAGGGTGTGGCTTCCTCCACGTCATGTCCCCTGAGGACCCGAGGAGGCTGGAGGTGGCGAGGGGACAGGCGGCTGGGGTCGGGTCTCACTCACAGGGGCCCTGCACGGCAGGGCTGTGGGGGTGGGGGCCCAGCCCGGGGACAGCCACCAGCTGCTCCCTTTCCAAGGGACTGAGACCCCCGCCGGGCGGCACTCACCACGCAGGTCTCCCAGACAACGGCCAGGCGCTCCTCCACGCCGTTGGTGCCCTCGGGGATCAGGGTGAAGTTGTCTTTGCCCACAGCCTTCTGGGCGGTGGTGAAGGTGCAGTGGGCGCTGCCCGTCACCTGGAGGTCCCCACTGTGGACGGGGCAGGGTCAGGAGAGCCGAGGGCCCAGCCCCCCGAAAGGCCAGGGCCGGAGTGACCTCCGGATGAGGGGTCCTCGGAGCAGGGATGGGCGTGAGGGGCCTCCCAGGGCTCCAGCTCCGCCCCGTGCCTGCGTGCAGGGGTGCAGCCAAGGCCCGGCAGGTGCTCACCTGGACAGCAAGGAGGCCAGGTGGCCTGCGGTGGTGGGGTCCGGGCTGATGGGGGGTGAGGTGACGAAGGCCGCAGCCTTTGCCCAGTTCTTGCTCCAGTAGTGAGAGCCATCGGTGCCCAGGCTGGCCGTGATGGGCTCCCCGAACACAACCACTCCTGCAGTGGGCGGGGCCGGGCACACGGGCCTGGCACTGCCGCCCCGACACCCCCACCGGTGCCTCCTTTTCCTGGCCTCAGTAGCCGGCCCCCATCTGGGCAGACACTTCAGTCCTGAGTGGACATGGGTGGCCCCGGGGGTCCCTTGGGGGGGCCTGCAGCAGCTGACAGAGGGTCTTCTCCATGCCCAAGCCCCCCAGTGGCTGCGGTACACAACCCTGCAGGTCCCCGATGGTCCTCACCGTGGGCCCCGCCAGAGGGCAGCACGGCAGGGGAGGGGCCCCAGCAGGGCCCCACGGATGCCCCCCCAGGCCACCAGGCAGGTCCCGTCTGACCCTCGGTGCACCCCTCCCGCCAAGGCTGAGTGAGGGCGATGCCCCTGGATGCACAGGCTCAGCACAGCTCTGCCCGGGTACCCGGGCTTGGGGTGACAGGGGCTCTGGGGCCCCTAGGGGGCAGCAGCTGCTCCAAGGCTATAGGGACCTGGGTCCAGCCCCTCCCTGCCGGTACTCAGGCACCTGCGTCTCCACTGGGCCGCACTCCCGGGCACAGCCTGCGCAGCAGCGCCCCCACACAGAGGCCAGGCAGGGCCAAGGCCGCCTTCCCCCTCAGCACTGCGGCCGGCAAGGGCCGGGCACTGACCTCTGCGCTTGGCCTGGGCGATCACGTCGGCCGCACCCTTGCTCATGACCTTGGTGACGTACAGGGGGCAGTTGGCCTGCTTGGCGATGGTGATGGCCCGGAACACAGCCTCGGTCTCCACCTGGGGACGGAGGAGGAGTCAGGCCCTGGAGAGCGTGGCGGGGGCCCAGGGCCTGTGGGGACCCTCCTGCTGGGGTGAGGCCTCAGCCTGGGGCTGTACCCAGGGCCCGAGGCAAAGGCGGCAGAGCGCCCAGGGGCCCGGGGGCCTGCGCCCGGCAGGGGAAAGGCTGCCAGTTCACCAAGCTTCGCCCGGGGAGGGGGCGGCTGGGGGACGCTGGGCAGGAGGGTGCTC